AGTTGATGTATTACGTTTGATTCATAGGCCAGATCAAAGTAAAAAATGAATGAACGGTGTTAGTAAACTGGTGTTCTATTTTACCATTGTTTGTAATCAGCTGCCAATGATAGGAATTTCCTGTGTGAGTCGCACAGAAAATTTTGCCTCCTGTAGATTTAGGGGCTAGCTTCTCCAGGCCCGTTCTCTCTCTTACTTAAAGAAACATCTCTCTTACTGAAAAATGGTCCCTGGGTACTAAATTCAACGGGGCGGCCGAGATTCAATACTATCTACAAATCGAGTGGTTAAATTGGTGGCAACTAATCTTTTCTGTACTTTGCTGCTTGCCCCTTTTTTGTCACTGGTCTATAGGATGTACTGTTTGCAGTCGTGAATGCTGAAATTTGCAATTAACATTAAGCTAAGATCAATATAAGTCTAAGAGCTGAAAATTCTGAGTGTCCAGAATATAATCTCATAGTTTATGAAAAGGAATGGGTCCGTAAGTTATCAAAACCATTGCTCACTTGCAATTTAACTTACAGTTATTCCAGATAAATGAATCACCCCTCTAGATAATCGTAACTATCCCATTACACTTAGTCTCTACAGATCACTTCCCTTCGAGTACTTTACCTCATCTATCTGACCTCGAGAATCAAATTGTATGATAGGTTTTGTATGCTTAAAATGAGGTCAATGATGATTCGTTATGATTGCTGAATGTTTATATTTTGTTGAATGTATCTTTATTTTGTGATCGATCGTCGTCTTGTGCTCGTGCAAGGACAAGTTTGACAAAAAAAGCAATTTAATTTGTGCTTCACATAAAATGGTTTGAAATTTGCAGCATTGGTGAGTCAGGGGTGAGTCAGATCTGACAAGAGCTGTTGCAGATCTGCACAAACCTGAGTGAGAACTGTCCAAACTTGTGCGAAAATCAGTTAGCATATCTGACGCAAATCTGCATCAGGTCTGTCCAGCTTTAAAACAGACACGCCGCAGGTCTTTTGAAGGACTGAAAATGTAAGGTTTAGCGCTGGTCAGGGTTGACTTTCATTTAAAAATTTGGTACAGATACTGCATATTTTCTCCATTACCCGTACCGAGAAAATTCTTTATTTCTGACCTGAAATACTTTGTATCTAATCTAATTTCTGGTCAGAAATTTTTTTTGAAATGTTTAAATAAAGCATGGATTTTCTTTAAATATTTTATTTCTTATCCTAATTCTGATCAGAAATTAGCTGAATCTAGGCCTTTTCTAGCAAGAAAAAAGTCTCCTGGTGGGGCTCGAACCCGCGCCCCTCTGATTGCTATATACCTGCTCTTTCCACGAGGCTACAGCCCTTGATCGGTTGTACAAGTTTTAGGAGAATAACAATGTTATATCAAGTGTAAGTTTGCATTGTATTCGCTACTGCTATTGTGTATACTCGAAGTATGTTTATCTCCTTGCGGTTGAGCAGTTAACTGATTTCTGGTTATTTTTTTCTAGAAACTGTTTGTTTCTAAACAAGAGAAGAAATAGATCACTTCTGCACGGAAAATACGAAAAAAACTAGACTATCTAGAAAAACAGCTTCCGTTTGGTACGGGTACCCGCTTAAATGCGTTTATTTTTAGAGCAGACGCGTTTCCTTATTACTCGCAAACGTCCTGTACTCATTTTTGCGGTCTATCAATAAAAACTTATATACTTTCTGCGCGTTTTGTTTTTTTTTCCTGACTATTAGGATTAAGGTTTTCCTTAAGCAGATCAAAATTTTTCAACTAAAACTTTCTTATGAAGTAATCTGCATGCTCTTTGGCTGATGTAGTCCTGTAAAAATGTCTAGCAGTAAGTATAAAACCATGTATTCATACTCGTCGGTAAGAAAAAAACTGCATTAACCAAGAAGAGCGCAAACCAATATGAGTTAAGTAAACTAACATATGAAATTGAAAATTTGGAACTTATTGTTTCGTACGGTTGCTTTTTATTTCGACTCTGGTTGGTAACATAGTAACTGTCTTCTTACTGACAAATACGCGGTTGTCTACTTACAGACCGCACTTCGATCTGTATATAGGTGTGGGCTTATTTTTGTCTATTGCTCTAATAAAACCTTTTTGATATACTTTTAAAATTAATCTGTAAGAACAAACATTCGATAACTTTCAGTAAAAACGAAAACAAAAGTTGACCTAACTTGGCGTTCTTATAGAAATAAAATAAGACTGCTCGTATCAGGGCGAAGCCTTGAATGTTCCGAATGCCTTTTAAGGTCTAAGGAGCAGTAGTAACATGAAAAAATTGAAAATGATAACAAAAAATGATTTTTTTTTAGAAAAAAAATAATGATTTTTGTAAAGAAAACCTCCCTCCACACGCCATATAAAGTATAAATTGATAAATTTCGCTTCTAGTTACAAATCAATTTTTGCAAGTTACCTACTTCAACCAATTTGGAACGATTTCCAAGATGATTTAAATCTAAGCTTATGTGTTCATAACGTGAAATATATCGCGCTTTAGTTGTCCCAAATTGACAAAAAATGACAATCTTTTAGCGCTTATAACTATAAAAAAAATAAAAACAGGTGAAATCTTTTTGACAATTTTTGTCTGAAGAAAAAAAAACCCGAGCACAAATATTCCGTTACTTTCTTAACAAAAATAACGAAATCTTTGTGCTCGGGGTCTTTTTTTCTTCAGACAAATTCCGACTTATGAACTAGCCATTTTTGGCGGAATTTTTTAATATCATTCCAATAGTATTGTTTTTCTCAGCTTAAATTTGACAAAATCAATTTACCTGTGATCATTTTTGTAAAATTATGGGGATTTAAATATTGCCATTTTGCCCAATTTGGGACAATTAATGGGCGATATATTTCGAGCTATTAACGCGCAAGCGGAGATTTAATTTGTCTTAGAAGTCTTTCCAAATTTGTTGAGGGAAGCTTATCTATCATAATTGATTTGATACTCGGAGCGAAATTTTCACTTTGTACTCTATATGGCATCTGGGGGTGATTTTCAGAAAAAATCTCAAATTTTGTTTTTAAAAAAAGTTTCAATTTGTTTTATCAAATTTACATTTTTTCATGTTTTTACTGTTTCGCCCTGATACAGGCATTAAAAGACAGTCAGAGAATTCAGGGCTTCACCCTGATACGAGCAGTCTTGTTGATTTTAGCTGGCTAACTGACCACAGTTCACAGAATTCAATCTTTTAATGCGAACTTATTATTCCGTCTGGCTGATTTTGAATCTAAAAACAAAATTTTCATTTGTTTTGACGAGCAAACATCGAAAAATTGTTAGCTGATTTCACTGATGTTTTTTGGATCATTTCCATTGAAAAACAATTACGACAACCTGACATCATATGATATTAAAGCACGGAAGGGCTGAAAAATAATTCAACATTTTTTCTTATACTGACAACATCAAAATCATTATATCTCTAAATTGGCCTTGAGTGGTGCCGACGCGATACGACAAACCTTATATTCCATTCCTGGGTGGCCCATTTTTGGTTTCAGAGTTTAAAACAAAGTAAAATGTTCAGAAGTTTTCAAATCAAGTGATTCAGTGTGAAGTACAAATTAGGTGTAGAAAATACGGAAGAAGTTGGTTATTAAAATTTCTAAGAACAAAGGGGAAGGCGAGCGTAAGTATTCATTAGAATGGGTTGAATTACGTAAGCTTTCCGTATCAAATTACTTGTGTATATCATTTATATCATTTATTTAGCTGCTATATGGTCTAATTGTTCCGACTTTCGATGAAAGAAAAATTTATGCTCGTTTTTTTTATTCAGTCAATTTTCGCCAATCGAAATCATAGTTTTTGACAAAAAACTTTTACACCCCATTGAAGAATAGGTTGAATTAATTTCACATGGAATTCAGGGTCAGTCGGAACGTTAAAAGTTTTGCCCTGATATACGAGCAGTCATGTTAATATGAATTATTGTTCCGACTTTCGAAAGTAACGGAACATTTGTGCTCGGGTGATTTTTTTTTCATCAGACGAATTTCCAATTTTTAACTGGCCATTTTTGACGGATGTTTTTTTCTACTGCCTTCAAAAAAAGATTATTGTCCTAGGCCTAACATTGAAAAGATATTTTACCTGCGTGTGATCATTTTTCGCGAAGTTATCGTGGTTCAATTATGGCCCATTTGGCCATTTGGGTCAATTTACGCGCGATATACTTCGCGCTCTTAACGCTTAAGCGGAGATTTAATCAGTCTAAGAAAGTGTTCCATATTGATTGAAGCAAGCTTATTTGCCCTAATTGATTTGTTACTAGGAGCGAAATCTATCACTTTGTACTTTATATGGCGTGTGTGTGTGTGTGTGTGTGTGTGGGGGGGGGGGGGGGGAGGGGGGGTGATTTTCACAAAAAATCTCAAATAAAAAAAATCATTTTGTTTTATATTACATATAATTTTTCATGTCAGTACTGCTCTATAGACCTTAAAAGGCAGTCGGAACATTCACTGGTTTGCCCTGATACGAGCAGTCTTGTTAAATTTTTTTTTTCGTAATATTTTCAAACTGTAGGTAACCCTAAGTTGGATTTCTAATCTTTCGATGTGAGAAAAGACATTCGGATGCCACAGATGGTGACGTACCTGTTTTTGAGTCGCGATTGTCGCGACTTAAGTCGCATAGATCAACCCGGGTTAAACCAGTAAAATCAAGCGTTCGAGAATTATTCCAGCTTTGTTTTTAAGTAATATTTAGTAGCGGTTGTTTTCCACGAAAGTTTTTTTTTGTCAAAAGTTGACACATGAATCTTGATCGATTTTGGGTGAAATGCGAATGATAGACCGCGACCCAAAATACAGGAATCTTTGCTGTTTTATTCAACTCTGTAATTAATGTCTCAATTTTTGACCTGTCCAGGGGATACTATGCTGCCTAATAGAGTCACAGAATTAAATGTCATTCAACATCGACTTGAAGCGTGGTCAAAATGGTGGGCTATCACCCAACAATTTCGATGAAATTGAATTCGAGAAAAGCATGAAGTTGTTCTCCAAATCAATTAGGTTCTAAATACCGATGGATGACTTGAATTTTGGAGCGCAACTCCAAATATGATAATGTGTTATAGCGCAAAATAATTAAGTGTTATGATTCAATTAAGTGTTCTTTTTTCCCCAAAAAAGAGCCAAAATAAAATGTCAACAAAGTGCTCAGTCTTTATTCGAAGTCTCTTGAAGTGGTTTAGTTTTTGGCGTGGGCTCTGGAGTGGAGACGAGAGAGTCGGATACATTGGCGTCTGGACCCTCAACATGCAGACTCTTCCTCCACTGGTCCTCTACTATCCGGCTGAGCCCCACTCTGTTCCTCTCTGTCACGCCCACTGGTTTCTCACACAAATGAGAGTGCAACTGAATTTCATCCCTAAAATACAATCCAAACCCTGACCTAAGTCATAGAACAATAGCTTGAGGGTATCGGTTCGTCTTTCGTTGAACTTGCAACTGAATTTCATCCCTAAAATACAATCCAAACCCTGACCTAAGTCATAGAACAATAGCTTGAGGGTATCGGTTCGTCTTTCGTTGAACTTGCAACTGAATTTCATCCCTAAAATACAATCCAAACCCTGACCTAAGTCATAGAACAATAGCTTGAGGGTATCGGTTCGTCTTACGTTGAACTTGCAACTGAATTTCATTCCTAAAATACAATCCAAACCCTGACCTAAGTCAGAGAAAAATAGCTTGAGGGTATCGGTTCGTCTTTCGTTGACATTTTAGTTCAACTGATTGACGTTTTTCCAACACTCTGTTTCGTAAAGCTGCTTTGTCCTTCACTGATTATCCCCATTTATAGGGTTTCCACAAAAGAAGAAATTTAATATTATACCAACAAGAATATGCCTAAAAATAGAGAAAGAAGAACACTTGACCTTTCATCTCTTCTCTATTGTTTTAGTTCAGATTTTACTAAATGTTAAGCCCAGAATTGTACAACAAAAACACAAAATAGGTATATAAAAGGAACTTTTTTGAGGAAATCAAATCTTTTTATCCGAATCGAGTCAGTAGATAACGTCACTGTGAAAAAATACCGTCTAGGGAGAGATTAGTTGAATTACGATGAAAATAGGTGTAAAGAATTAACTATAAAACAAGATCCCTGTGGGTGGTGATCGACGGGATTAGAGAGAAGTAAACGTCCAAGTCGTACCCTTGACACAATCCCTATTCATGCTTCAGACATGCTTCGACCAAATTTAAAACCCCATATTTGCTTCCCAAGTTAACAAAAAATATGAAAAACTCTAAATAAAATTGTGAAATGTCAAAAGTTCAGAATGGTATACCTTAGAGATAGTTTCTGATTTCGTTCCTTGCTGTCGGGCGGCAGCTTTGATTGCAAAGGCGTTATTGTCGAGGAGAGCTTGGCTGTTGTAAGAGTCCCCTTCCTCACCCTTTCTTCTTGCTTCGTTTCTTCTAATTGGTCATTTCCATTGCTATTTTCATCTTTCTGCTTGCTGACTTTAGCTATGCGCGTTTGCTGGTTGACGTATGTGCTTAGAATACGAGCAAATAGGTCGAACTCCGAAGATACCGATTTGCTTGATATTTTCGTCGATTTGATTGGTTTCGCTTTCTGGCTAGCTGAGCTTAGACTACTTGTTGCTGATGCTAGTTTATTCTGAAAACAAGATACAATTATATCAAAAAGGCGTGCAGATTAAAAAATGGCAAACTAAGGTGCCAAAATTTTACAAAATAAGCATAGCTCTGACAATTTCTTAGATTGGTTTGGAACAATGAATTTTGGAACAAAAATTGGAACAAAAATTTTGGAAAACGAATTAAAAAAAAATATTATTGTTCAATTTTTCAGAAATATCGTTCATTTTGCTTGAAAAAGTAATCGAGCAACAATTGAGACGCCCGAATTTAAAGAGTGACCTAAGCTATTACCTGTGTCTGTCCGAGCTTCCGAGCTTCGTTCACGCGCGGGTCTGGGTCCCTGTTGCTGGAGTCCAGCACAGCCGCCCAGCAGATGTTGCGGAGTCCGTCCTGGTTAGGAGTGGACTCCAGGCGATGGTAGATCCTCATCAGACTCTCCAGGGCAGTGAAACGAACCATCCAGCACCATTCACAGTTTTCTTTTTTTTTTAAAAAAAACTCAAGGTAATAAGCACAAAGCGAGTTTTTATTAAGTTGAACGATGATGTGGTAACGGTACTGCAAAACTATTTTAGAAAATTCCCCATCCAATATGATGTACTTTTACAGTGTTGATTTAAAATAACCGGACACAACGACAAACAATTGAATTTTCAAACGCTTTTTATTGCATAATCTGTCTGCTAAATACTAAGCAAATCCTTATAGTTTTTCATATAACGTCAATCAAATTTGGGAAAAACGCCTTGTAAAATTCAAGTTTAATGCGTTTTTGTCCGGACAATTTAAATCAGCACAATGTCATTTTTGTTAGAAAACAGCAAGGCTCTCTAAAGCAACCGCTGAAAACTAAGGGTCGAATGAGATAACTTCATGTTTTTTTCAGTCTCAAATAAAAATCGTCACAAATCTTCGGAAATCTTGAAGAATTTCAGTTAATTTTCGAGTTTTTTTTGAAAAACATTTTTTGAAAAAACGAGATGTGAAAGCTAGGAAAAAATCTTACTGTGATTAAAATAGAGCAAATCAATCAATCCCACATTTTTCGTCCCGATATCTCTGTACATGTACTTTTTTGTATTGAAAAGCACATCTGAGCAAAAAACACCGAGCAAAGCCGCTTTTCGGATCTCGGCACTAGATCCGTTTTCGACTATCTGCGCGAGTAGCTTCGTAAACGCAATAGCCAAATCCGAAGGCCACTTAATAAAATTCGGCCACGCCTTAACGGTAACTTCGATGCTTGAACGACTACTGCGTCCCGAGGCTATCATTTCATGTTGAAGTAGTTTTTTAGGAGTTGTATTCAATATTCGCGAGCTTCGGGCTTCGGAGGGACGTTCGTTGAAGAAGTTCGGTCGGCTTTTGGTGCCGTCAAGCGACAACAACTCGTCTCTAAATAAGAAAATTCAGCATCATATATCTAATCAGTATAGTTTTTAGTTTACATTCGATGCCTTATGCGCTCATCAAACTCTAGTTTTCACTAGTTTTTTCTTTGAAATTATGTAAGAGCTAAATATATGAAAACTGGCAAGCGAAGAAGTAAATGATGAAATGCTTATTCAATGTTTTATTCAGTCTATGATGAAACTTGAAACAAATCAAGTGAAACAAATCCAAATGAAACAAATCAATCCAGCCGCAAATTACCTGTCCACGGGGGAGTTCAGTTGTTCATGCGAGGGTCTGCAGAAAGGGGCGCTGTTCCACAGATGGCGATCGACTAGTGCCAAATTATCCCACGCAATGTCCTCTTCAGTTACCAGACTCTTACTCGGAGCTCGAGATTGTGCTAGAAAAATCAGGAGACACCAATGAAGATATTTTTTTTCTACGTGGTTCAATTTTCCAAGCGTTTGTTACCCAAGTTGTGAATGACAATATTTGAAGCCGCAATTAGATTTCGAAAAGCTGCAGAAAGTTTTTTCGTTAAGTATTTGTCAAATGTTATTTCAGTTTGGCTAACATTGGAACACTGTTTGGAAAAATTTTGGAGTAAAATATTGCATATAAATCTGCACAATACCAGAGTGCTGCATGGGATTAGCCTGCAGTGTTTTTGTCTTTGGGATTTGTTCCAAATCTTCGTCTTTTATAGGCAATTCAGACTCCTTGATCTGCTCCAGACTCGCCTGCATTCGAGTAGTCGACAACATACTTCTCTCGGATCGGTTCGTGCTAGCTTGTTCGTTGACGCCTTCTCGATGATCCGAGTTAGGAGCGTCTTCATCAATACTTAGTTCCAGACTTCGAAGCTCGTCAAGGACACTTGAAGGTTGCATGTTGCCTTGATCACTGACTTCATTTGGCGAACTTTTCGGGTGAGTACCGCTGAGCATGCAATCGGAACGCACTGATACGGAAACAGTGCTTTCAAAGTCAGGCGCATCCTTTAAAAAAGATATCATGTATTTCAATTTGTAATACATGTCCTTGTTTCGACTACTTCACGGAGTGAGAAAGAACTGTGGCCGATTTCTGTTTTAACTGATTTTGACTGCCTGACAGAAAACTGACCATGAGCAGATCTGATCATTATTTTTAAATATAGTGCTTGGAATAAATGTGATCAGACAAAGTCAGAACATGTAATGCCAGTAAAAAGTCCTAATCAGATGCACAAGCTGCAAATTTGTGAACAGCAATTTTTCCTTGATAATATTATGTCCTATACAAGTCTGATATCTCTGATATATGAGTGACCTTATCTATTCCATATCATGATTATAACGTTCGAGTGTTTGTGATTGAACTGAATTGTGTATGCAAAGAGTGCGAACATAACAAAATTATAAAACGAAAATTTTTGATAGCAACAAAATTTGACGAAAAAAAATCATTAATATCTAAGCTGTTTTATTTGTTGATTGATCTCTTTATTCATACTCGCTTTTTCTTGCATTAACTGTTCCGATCAACCCTCCTTCAACCCCTTGAGGCGGATGGAAAGCTATGGCCTCCGATCCTTTTTGTTTCACTCGATTTTATCTACTCTTACGGGGCAAAAATACCATTGGTGCGCAAGTGAATGACATGAATAGTGAGCAGTTCATAGATGAAATATACAATGCAGAACTGCAGGAAACACTTCTACAAGAGGAGTTTGAAAGTTTCGATCAGGCGGTAGAACGAGCACAGTCTTTTAAACAGTCTGACAAAACTTCCAGAGCGAGCAACAAGGAACGACCAAACTATGTGCGAGATTTGCAAGGTGTACCAAAATTGAAGATAAGAGGCCACGTAGAGGTCATTGACGCTCAGCAGGTACGTGCGGAGCTGACAAGACTGGAGACGAGTCCTGATCAGAGATTAGATCAGATGGGAACACAGATGCAAACGATAATGATCATGATGGGCAGGTTTCCAATTTCGGTTAAATCTAACCCAAACCCGGGTCGAAATCCCGCTCAAAAACCGCTCAAGATATGAGCGGTTTGAGCGGTTTTTCAGCAAGATTTGAGCGGTTGGAGACCGCTCAAACAGCTCAAATCTTGCTTAAAAAACCGCTCAAAAACCGCTCATTTCTGGCGTTGATTTTTGAACGGTTTTTCAAGCAAGATTTAAGCGGTTTTTGAGCGGTCTTCTAAAAAAACTGATTAAAACCAACAAAAAGGCCTGGAAAGGTAATGTGACCCCGGGTTGACATCCATAAACCGAAAATGCTTATTTTAACGAACCAGCCCAGAAACCAGGAATTTTCTTGCCACAAAAAGGTTGCATTTGAACGACATAACCAGTATTGGAGGCGCTCGCTATGGTGTGATAGTGGTTGGGATGCAGGAGGTTGATTTGAGTGCTGTCAGTCAGGTCGCATTGCAAAGGAATGTCCCCGCAACATTTCGAACCATTTAAACTAGCGAATGCCGGGGCAGAAAGATTTGAAAGGAAATTTAAGCGGCCGTTTTCAATAACAGAACAAAGCCGAACCAGATGCCCTTGCAACTGATAACCCAAGGCAGCAGACCGACCTACGCAATCCTTCAGAGGAGGAGAGACAGAGTGAGACGATAGTGGAACATGAGCATGTGAAGTCACTAATTCATCAACTAACCCGACACCAGTGGACAAGTGCAAGTCAGCAATTAGCGTGCAGCTGGAGACAGAAACACGCAACGAATGTACTGGCGTCAGTCAGGTGATGAACAGTGGACCCTAGGGGTTAGTTGACGTTACTTGCGTGGGAGGAACATGCGTAGAGGTTTTGTTGAATACTGGAGCCACGACTAGCCTTACACGAAAGAAGGTGGATAAGAATCTTGAATACAAGCCATAGGTACGGCCCTACGAGGGCCATTTACAGACAGCAGAGGGACCAGGGATGGATGTCGAGGGATGTAACACAACGAAGCTGAAACTAGGAGCGATTGATGACAATATCGAAGCCTTGTGGTTGCCGGGCTGAAAAACCAGATGAGCTTAAGACTGCGATCAATGAAGGAACACAGATATTCTGTGAATTTTATTTGCGACCGTTTTTGTTTTGTCCTAACGGAATGGTCTACGGTTCCGGTACGGTATGGGACTCCTAAATTGATTCCGAGACAATTGCCCACGATGCGGCCCGATACAGGAAGGCAGATAGAGCAGAACACTATCACAGCTATGTAAGAAAGTTGGCCACTCACATGCAACACAGTGCTACGATAGTCGATGATGAAGACGAGAATGTAGAAAAATCAGCAACGGAGGAAAAAGACGACACCAGTTAAGTGTACCCCGAACTAGCCTCGCCAAAGGAAGCTATGAGAAGATCAGAACGACCGCTACTGGAGAAGGTACGCGCTCTCATCGAGGTGGACGACGATGACGGAGAGGCTATCCGCTGGAAACGAACAACCGCTGAGGTTGCCTCACTGCAGAAACGAGACACACCTATCGCTCAAGTGTTCTACTGGGCCAAAATATCTGAAAATGGGGGTTATGACGTCATTGGGAATGAATATCATCCTAAAAGAGCAGGCTATACAGTACGGATCTGAGACACTGGCTTACTGGTCGCGATGGAACGAGATGAGTATAGAAGGGGGAATCCTCTACACAAAATGGTATCAGAAGGCCGGCTCTCTACCCAACCTTCTTCACTAGTTCTCAACCAGCTGCTTTTATTAGAAGCGAGAGGAGGGCAACACGTAGCTGAGTAAAAGAAAAGGGTTCGGGTGGCCGACGATGAGGACTGACATTGAAAAAAATTTCAGTGGTGTTTCAAAAGTGCATAATAGAATGCAGAAATGAAGCAGATGCGAGCGAGGGGCGAGACTCGATTTGATCCGAGAGTGAAAATCAGCACAGTTGCAATGTATATCTTGTGACCAATGACAACGGCGAATAGCACCAGAGCGAAGCATGTGCCTGTGATAACGGATCTGTTCACGATGCATGTGATAGCGCTTCCTCTGCTGTCAGCAGATTCAGTTTACTTTGCGAGTGAGATAGTAGAGCATGGGAGCTGCCCTTGTCTTGCGAACGGATCAATTGATGATTTTTGGAGGCAAAATGATCCAGGAGATGTTCCGACTCCTTGGTATTGATAAAACTCATACTCCCCCGTACAAATTGCAGGCGAATGAGCAGACGGAGAGGCAGAATGCAATTATGGCCAAAAGGCTTCAAAACATAGTGCAGAAAAGCCAAGGACGTGGGACACGACGTTGCCCTACTTGAAGTTTGTGTACAACACGACGATCAATCGGGTAACAGGCTACGACGTTTTGTATGGTGCACGGACAGGTTGCCGACTCCTTGGTATTGATAAAACTCATACTCCCCCGTACAAATTGCAGGCAAATGAGCACACGGAGAGGCAGAATGCAATTATGGCCGACTGGTTTCAAAACATAGTGCAGAAAACCCAAGGACGTGGGACACGACGTTGCACTACTTGAAGTTTGTGTACAACACGACGATCAATCGGGTAACAGGCTACGCCGTTTTGTATGGTGCACGGACAGGTTGCCGACTCCTTGGTTTTGATAAAACTCATACTCCCCCGTACAAATTGCAGGCGAATGAGCACACGGAGAGGCAGAATGCAATTATGGCCGACTGGTTTCAAAACATAGTGCAGAAAACCCAAGGACGTGGGACACGACGTTGCACTACTTGAAGTTTGTGTACAACACGACGATCAATCGGGTAACAGGCTACGCCGTTTTGTATGGTGCACGGACAGGTTGCCGACTCCTTGGTTTTGATAAAACTCATACTCCCCCGTACAAATTGCAGGCGAATGAGCAGACGGAGAGGCAGAATGCAATTATGGCCAAAAGGCTTCAAAACATAGTGCAGAAAAGCCAAGGACGTGGGACACGACGTTGCCCTACTTGAAGTTTGTGTACAACACGACGATCAGTCGGGTAACAGGCTACGCCGTTTTGTATGGTGCACGGACAGGTTGCCGACTCCTTGGTATTGATAAAACTCATACTCCCCCGTACAAATTGCAGGCGAATGAGCACACGGAGAGGCAGAATGCAATTATGGCCGACTGGTTTCAAAACATAGTGCAGAAAACTCAAGGACGTGGGACACGACGTTGCACTACTTGAAGTTTGTGTACAACACGACGATCAATCGGGTAACAGGCTACGCCGTTTTATATGGTGCATGAACAGGTTGCCAATACACGATTGACTTTCCTTTCCACGACGAACCGTTGGCGAAATTTGGTTGTGAGGAATAGCTCGAAAAGAAGTTCCGAGATGTACACGGCAGTGCGAGAGAAGTCTTAGGGATTGACCAACGTCGACAAAAGAATCAGTATCGTTAAAAAGTTCACGGCGAACCATATGAAGCTGGCGATAAAGTCTGTGTAAGGGCAAAAGAGCAAATCAAATCGAAGAAGTCTTTCAATTCATGGGAAAAACCAAGCGCTGTATCGGCCAGGATGTCTGAGGTGAACTACAAGGTGGCAAAACACTAACAAACAAGAAAACTACCTAACAAACAAGAAAACACAACAAAATCTCTGAAGTTGATTAAAATATTTTGGAGCACTAAAAGTGTAAATGAAAGGCTAAAAATCAACATTTTGTAGTACAGTGGGTTTGAATGTTTTTGCTTCAGTGGATTTTTATGATGAAAAAGTATTATTTAAAAATAAGTGGCAAAAATTGCTAGTTTTTTCAAAATATTTAACAGACAAAAAAATCAAAGTTAAATTAAAATAAAGCTTTGTAGTTGCTGTGCAAGTAACACAGAAAGTTTTTAAGACAATAATTGAAATGCTGCAAATAAAAAACATGCAAAAAAAGCAAAAAAGCAAAATAAGACTTACAATTTTTTTTTGTTCATTTTTTGTAGTCGATGGGAGAGTTTAATTAGGTTATAATGAGCTAAGTGGAACTGATTATAGTCAAAACATTATTTTGAAAGGCAGCAGAAAAAGACAGCGCACACGCTCACTCTTTCACTCGTTAGTCTTGCTTTCCTTGTGCTAATTAGTCCGAAAACCGAAAAAATGTAAGCAAATTTTGCTCATTCTGAAAAAAAATTTGTGGATTTTTTTCAGAATCAGAAAAATAGGAGGGTTTCATTATCGTACCACACTTGGCTCTTACGAGTTTTCCTATGGAAAAACACTCTGCTCCATTGTTTCTTCCTTTTATTTTATGAAGTGGTCGGAAGAATAATTTCGATGGTATTATTACACAATGAGATAAACTTTAAAAATATTTATCTTTTCCACTCGTTTTTGCAACATCAAATTACCTGATAAAGATGTGGTGTACAGTTTTCAGGGTGACGAGTGATGGCAATTTTCTGCATAGTTTTCAGCACTGACATGTTTTGGGACGCCATTTGAGCTAGTAGCTTCATTCCGTGATTCATTGTCACAGGCCTGAAATTCGATCAACTGGAAACCATTGCTAATCATGCTATCTATTTCTGCGGTAATTCAAATCAAACTGTTTTATTTGAAGATTTTCCAGGAAAGAAAAAAACTGGGTGCTTTCTTCTGTTAGATTTCGTTAGGATAGGACCGTTGTATAAAAGTTAATTCTTTTAAAAGCTGCGCTGTTGCAAGTTTAATTTCTTCAGATTAACCATTAGCGAAACTTGACCTTTAGATGGCTGGGCTGAGCCTTTGAACAAGCCTAACGATAAAAAGCTCAAGAAGCTTAAGATTATATTTTTACAAAACTTACTCAACCGAGATAAGATCTTTGAACTTAGATGAACTCAATAGATTTTCCTTCATATCACTGGTTCCTCTAGCGGTCTGAATGGGTTTATGTTTCTGATTTGGAGGACTGAGTTGGATTTTAAGGTTGATCACGTGCCACATCATGGGACTATGTATGTAGAAATGGCTTTCGTTGTCACTAAGAACCTGAAAAAATAATCGACAAGATGAATTTTGTAGTTTTCTATCGATAGTTTGCGTTCTTGATGAAAACCTTGAAGCTATATCGATTTAACAAAAAATTCTCCCTTAACACTCAAATTCGAACGATCTTTGCGACTTTCTGTTAAAAGTTTCCTTTCTGATCTCCTTAACATTTCGCAAAAATAGTGGCTTTTTCTTTCTCACGTTTGCCTGATTGAACAAATAGGGCAGCGAGTTCTTCTCATCTTCTTCGTCTTCTTTTTCGTTTCCTGTTTCCTTCTGACCATCTGATGACGTCACATGGTGTGCATGAGCGCTGACCAACTCCACTGTTCTGGAGATGTGAGTGAGACACTGGACTATGGTGGGGTAGCTGCTATAGCTCTCCTCCGACTCCGCCAGGAACCCTAGAATAATAATTTATTATAACAATCATAATAACCATATTAGAACTCAAACAGAGAGTTTCGCATGCTGTCGGCTTGTTCAAGTAAAAGGCCAAAGTGAAGCCAAATAAAGAGATATAATGTCCTTACTTTGTTAACGCAGGGATCCACAGAGTAGTCAAGCTCAATTTTTTTTTATTCAAACAAGGGTGGAGGTGCTCATTTTTTCGACTTTCAAAGTCGAGCACATGTCAGTGCTCGACTGAAAAAAAATAGTGGAGACATGGGTTTGGGTCGAGAACAGACTCGAAACATACCACGAGCATGGTCGAAGCAGATCGAAATTTGGTCCAGCACGGTCGAAACATATCAAAGTTAGGTCTAGCACGGTTCAAAAACACGCGAGCACGGTCGAAAAATATTGAATTTGGCCAAGAAAGGTCGAAACATACTTGAGTACAGTCTATTCATATCAAAGTCTGGTCTGTCAGGTTCGAGAAGTACGCGAGTACTGTCGAATCATAACGATCGTCCCGAGGTGAGCTGAAGTCAAAAACAAAAATTTCTCTCAAATATCACCCAATTTTTAACGTTTTTGAGTTTGAAAACCAGAGTATCCATATGATGAAAAAAACTTAGTCATAAAATGAGCGCCTCTACTCGGAAATCTAGCCAACTGCTGTGGCTTATTTTCACGGCATGCAGAAAAAATGTTGATGAGAAAAAACAAAAGTTACAAAAACGCCGTTTAGACTCTCATTGGTTTCTGTACCTTCATTGTACTCTTTCAGCCGTCGCAAGAATCTTTCGTGGCCAATCAGATCGCCCATTATGTAATAGCATAAAAGCCGATCAAACACGAGTTCGCCTGCCTTAAACAAAACAGAAAAACTCAAAGACACTCCTTTAAAACATAAGGAAAAAAGGAGATTTTTAAAACCCTATAGGTGCTTCGAAACCATATTATGATTCGTTACTAGATACAAAATTCACATCGATTTGATTGGCCATTGAATAAGTAAAAAACAGGAATGACAAATCGTTACTAAGTACCACAGGGGATAGTTAAAGAGATTAATTAGTCATCATCATTACTTTATTGTTGCATTCGTGAATATTGTTAATCACTATAGGAGATGGACACTATAGAATATGAGTTGTATACTGACCTTGAGTAGTTTGACCTCGGATGACCTGAGGTATGGCTCCCGAATGAGTCTGTATCGGAGCCAGTAGAGAGTGGCCTCACACAGATACATGACTGCAGGCAGAAGACCACAGTCCACATCAACCCAACTGCCAACAGATTGAGCGAGCAAATCCAGAGCAGCTACGCACACAAATGAACAATTTATATAAGTTGAGTTTTTAGTATAAGTCGAGATTACTTGCATTGCAAACCGCAGCATTTTTGACACCGCAGTAAAAAGCTCTTAAATTTGCTAATTTTTTTGGAATAACTAGTCTGCAAAACTGGCGTTTTTCGTAAAATTTGGCGCAAAAGTTAATTTTAGGGATGGTTTAACAGCAACTGCGAGTGAAACTCTTACGTTTCCTTCAGTGGTGAATAACATTTTATTGCGAATTTTCAGAGGTACTCAAACAGCTCAACGATGATAACTTGTATGGATTTAATATCATACTTGCTTTGCTAGTGCAAATTACGACAACATTAGTTTGCAGTTTTTCAAGTCGAAAACTGTCTGCAAACGTCGTTAAGCACTTACTCTCTTGAGTTTTCCCAGTGCATTGTGACAGCAGAGAGAGGTCTATCCAGCTCTTGGCAATGGTCTCGAAGTCAGTAGTTGTCTGTTGATCGCAGCACTGGAGGCGTAACTGAAACGAGCAAATTAAAATAGAAAGGATACCCCAGATACCCCACTTAAAAGATCCAAGAAAATTCAAACATAGTCTACAGACACATTGATAGTCAGGAGCAGAGGTTTTTCTCTAGGGGGGAGGCGGATTTTTAAAAATAAGTTCAATTTTATTGAAAATCTTATTCAAGTCACAGGCAAAGTTTTTCTCTAGGGGGGGGGGGGGGGGGGGGGGTTTGTTAGAAAAATTGATTTTTATTGAAAATCTTATTCAAATCAGGCGTCGCAAGCAAAATGTTGAAAAAACGGGCCAAAAAAAATTGACAATTAAATTGCGTTTTTTCAGCGAGCGCGCTCAGCTCCCCCTCCTCCCCCCTCCCTCAAAATTAGTATATATTGGCGCCAAGGGAACCATTAGAAAAATTTTTGGGTGAGGCGCCAAAAATGATTTTTTCAAGATAGTACAAAGGGGGACACTTTGCGTCGGCAGGAGTTAGAATCCCTGAGGGAAAGGCGCCCCCCCCCCTAAATCCGCCCCTGTTGAAGTGTTGATTATCTGAAACCAAAAAAAGATTCTGTAAGAAATCATAAAAAATTGCAAATTTTGTCTCAAGTTAGAGAACTTGGATCTCTTTAACTAACAACAACCCCCCCCCCTCCCCTGTAGGGTAGCTAGTAACGAATCCCCCTATGAAGAAATAAATCAACGATTGAGCATATGAGGAGAATTTAACAAATCTCTACCCCCCCCCCTCCCCCACCACCCTTTGCAAAAGGGAGAAGTTAAAGAGATCCGAGAAATTTATAGTGTATAATTATGAAGTGAAACAATAATTCGAGCTTCTCAGCTGTAGTGTAGACCATGCAGTATCTCGACTTCGTTATATGCTGACATGATCTATTTTTGAATCAGAAAACGGTAGAAACAGATCTAAACTAGTATTTATCATTGGTTACTATTATGATAATTTATCTCTATAAAATATTAGAAACTAACCAATCGTACTTCATAAAACTAACAACCTAATTATTTGTAAAGCGTTGAAACTACTTGTAGTTTCAACACCAGAGCAATTTGAATTAAACTTAGAATACAGTTGTTCTCATTCTGGAACTAACTTGCGCAAACCGGTGTACACTAGATCTATTGAGACTAAGAGATATAAGAGTAAGATTAAGATTGGTATTAGACAAGGAAGTTGCACGAATCTATCCGGCCGAATATAAAATTGCGTGACGAGCAGACGGTGTACCTTATCTGAAATTACTCTATGAGTATAGTATATCATACATAACTCATCTGGTGCGACCAAAAGTCTCGAACAGACCTTGTCTAACCTAGAGTTAGACAAAAATTAGATTAGAATTAGACAAGGAAATGTTTTATGACAAAAACTTAGGAGATATGTCTCTACGACTCAATAGATCAGATCCAATATTCCGAACAATACGAGAACAATACGAGGTATTGGAGACGACATACGATTAGGAAGAAATATACCAATTAATTTCATGATAGTACGACAAAAACGAAATCAAACTTTTGTATTTAGGATACTACTAGCAGTAAATTTAAATTTTCATTTACTGACATAATATTTGAAGAACTATCTTCATTAACCTTTCATGGCGCTAAATATAATAATTATACAATAACGACCGATAAAATCAACACTTGTCGTTTTCCTTAACTCAGCTGTAAATTAAACAACCTCTTGAAAAAATATTTATTGAATATACAAATACAAAAATAAATTAGTATAAATCATAAATTGTTAGTATATATAAACCATCTAATCATCCCAGCTTCATCACCTAAAACATAACAGCAAATTTCAAAAACTAACAATCATCAAATCTAAAACTTAACCTTAACTCTCTAATTTTAAACTATCAAGGCCTATCCTTGCATTCACTTAAATTAATTTCATTTAAATAACAGATCATCAAGGTTTTCCTTGGATCTTTAAATGAAAATATATCTAATTTTTTAAAATTTATAATTATCTAAATCTCTGATCATCTAGGCTTATCCTTGGATCAAATAGAACAGTTTTGTTCTCCCCCTCCAAATTTAATTAGTGTCTAGCGACCTCAAATGTGGACTCACTACCCAATTCTTATCAACGAACCAGAATTAACAGAAATTATTCAAAAATCTAACCATTTTAATTAACTCATCCTTCACTTGATCCCCTCCTCTTAGATGACCCAGGCTAAAACACTTAAACTTAGTAAGTCATAAAATAGTATCCAATGAACTACTTGAATTCTAATTATACCTGAACCTTGTGGATCAATTTACTATGCTCCAACCCTTGATCACCAATCACAGCCCCTAAGTAAAATTAGGTAGGTCTATCTTAGCTTAAAATTAGTCACGAGAAAGTACAAATCATTCTTGGGAATCGATATTCGCTTTTCTGACGAAACCAAATATACGACCCAAGTTAAGCTAACCACAAAACATCGTAAGAACCAACAGTTTAAGGCATTAGAATCACTAATCCAGATTTTGCATTCATCATCCTAAACCTTATGTCAAGAGACAATTTAGGAAACAATTAAACAATCATAATACACAATTGTTTAATTAACGACAACAAATACAACCTCGTAATCATAACACACAGACAATCAGTAGCTTATATAAAAATAAGAAGACAAACACTAAGAAAGAAAATAATTAACAAACAAAAACAAATTATTAGAAAAAGATGTTCCAAACGAAGAAACGCAGTCTGGAACAACCGCAATACAAGAACTTCACAATTTAAAAGACGACCAACTATATTGCACTGATTCAGAAACCACGTCATTAGCATCAATAAATGGTAAACGTAAAATAAAAAATTGCTACACAAACAAACCAATACGTTTGTAAAATTGGATTCAACTGATAAGACACATTGAAAATTACACATCAACAGTGAAACAACACAAAAATGATTCAAAGAGAAGATAACACAGAAAATTCAGTACTTTCTTTTTCAATATCTCCATTAGTTGAACCTCGAGGACAGATAGAATTTTATCAAAATCTAATTGCAAACTTATTCGAAAAAGGCGAAAGCCGTGCACAAAAGAATTTCCCTATGTAAAAATCAAAAGACAACTTCTTGATCACTATCTCAAAGGTATATGTAGACTCATATCACAATATGGAATCTACACAATAAAAATCAGATCACCAAATGCATTTCATGACCGATATCTCATTCAAACTGATGATGTAGATATTGAATTTTCAAAAGTTTTTACACAATACATCAAAAGCATATAACACGAAAACTCACAAAGAGCAAACTCGATATTTACAAACGATGTATTCTCACTTATCTATAGCTGCTATTTATCTATATTAGAATTGAATGAACCTCAAGGCAATTCACCAGCTCAAACCCCTCGGCACACAATTGTACGACAGGAAATACACATAATTTCAAAATTTCTAAATGCATTCCGAGAAGATCTAACAAAAAATGAAATAACACAGCATGTTAAACACGATTTACAAAACTCTTAGCATAGTTCATAATCGATTATTTCAGTCACAATCTTGATCTTATTGATCAAGCAAGAAAAAATTTTCGACCACAAAATACAGATGACGAAACTGTACTAGCAGATTATGTTTGGGACCCTGAATGGTCTCATGAATTATTTATTAATATACCAACAGATATATCAAGTCAGGCAATTAGCACTATCCCTATTTAAAAAGATTATGATAGAGTATATCCACTTACAGTTGACGCAACACCTTTAAACTATAATTCATTTTTCCCTGAAAGAACAGGAAATAATAGTTTAAATTCTACATTTATAAATCATGATAACCCAAATGGAACAAGAAAACTTACACAACAAGATATACAAACCGCATCACCTTTTGTAAGCGAAGAAATTATTGAAACAATAACAACAACAGAAGCACAACGAAGCATTTCACCTATTCAACCCAATTTTACAACTCCAAAATTAAAAAAATCCAACGCTACAACAAACAATCATACAATCCACAGTAAAACCCTCTGTTGCACAAAAACATTCGCAAATGAATTATCCAACGTTCCGACCAGAAACAAAACTATCATACAAACAACAAACATCACATAGAAATAGTTTTGCAGAACATAATTACAACTATGTAAATGGACCAAAACAACAAAACCTAAAACAAATATTCAAAACTACTTCTTTTCACAAAAGTCAAAACATACCGCAACCGACTTTAAACTCTGTGAATTTTCATGATCAACCACGATCCTCACAAGAACAAAGTGAAAACTACCCATTTTTTCAACAAAACAAAAAATAATACAAATAAATACCATACCAGAAATCAACCTCTTTATTATGCACAAATTTATTTTCCATCAGATGATGAAGAATACTATAACCAAAATCATCAACGATTTTACTTAGGCCAAAGACCTCGTTCCTACAGTATCGACCATACACACGAGATGAACAAACACGACAACCCAGAAATAACCCAACATCTTACAACAATAATTTTCAACAAAGAACCCAGTTAACACACTATCAAACCAACCAACTCAAATGCATAACAAAATTTCACTGCCATATTATTTAAAACAATATGAATAGCAAAAAGTCAACTTACAAACTTTTCTCAAATACCAAATGCCGCAGAGTCACTACAAATGACTATGAATCCATACCTAATGGGTGGATCATCAATATCGTCAAAAAAAACACTCATGGTATTAACAGGCACAGATCCCGAATACTCTGTAGAAGATTATCTAAATGCAGTCACAGCTAATTTAATTGTGAATATAAGACCTGAACCAATAAACACGCCACTTCATCAAAATTGGATACATAGACGCACAGCTATAATCCAAACTACACTTGAAGGCGCAGCCCAAAAATGGTTTTCAGTTTTCCCTATAGGAATAAAATCAGATTGGAAAAGATTGGCAGAAGATTTCTCAAAAAAGTTTGATTCAGAAAGAAACAAACAACATCAAAGAGTTTTATGCAATGAAA